TATGCATAATTCTGGTTTTTCCAATCGTCCACTGATCTGCCGAAGCCTTAAGGACAAAATCTTGCATCTGGCCACTTTAATGTGCATATACCAGTTCACCTGTTGCTGTGGAGCCAGGTACATTGATCTTTCGACGCGTATCCTATCCAAAAGGGTTCAAGCACACTATCCCGCTTGGCTAGAAAAAGATAATAGTGGCTCTATAAGGAGTGCGATAATCGAACATTTCGTCAAAACTTGTCATTGCATCTCAACAAACGCCTCCTTTAAAGGTGACCTACAAAGTGAGGAATAACCTACCAAAGACAATACACTTCCGTCTCCTTTGTATTGCGGAAGCCTTAGTCATTCATTTGGAGAAACCAGGGAACCAGAGAGCCCAGAAAAGTATCCAACCACTTCTACTGTCATGGTAACAACAGTGTTGAATTCTAATGACTTGATGTTTGTGTGCCAGGACCTTCTGGTTACATGGCGAGCACATAGACCATTCAGACACTGGAAGCCGATCCAATGGCTTATAAATTCCAGCTTCAATCAACTCGTGATTTTACCGTGGCAACCAGCCAATGTCATCGGTGATTATTTGTCCCCACTCTTGACCGGGTGGAACCTACCGGTCACGAATTCTCACTAGAACTCCAGGGAACTTCGTTGTTTAGTCAGGCACTAGTGCGAGCATCGGAATTACTTTCAGGAGTTCGTTTTTAGGGATTAGATTTACTTCAAGCTTGATCATGGATTGATTGTTGGTTATTTTCTTTGTAAACTTTTGATATCTGTGTAGCAACTTCTCCTGTCTATGGGTCGAATCTCCTTTTCACTTTGCCTGTATATAATACAAGGATTTGACAGTTGTTTTGTTTTGGTTTTGTATTATGAGATCGAAGTAAGGAATTCATCAACCAGGTTGCTATTAGTCACCTGTTTAATCTTGATCAAATGATGAAATATAATTGAATTGTTCATTCTAATTTCACTCTCTTCTCTTCTGTCAATACACTTTAATTAGATTACGTTCATCACTTTCAAATTGACCTTACTAATGATATGCATTCATAAATGAGGTTCTGTCTTCTTGGAGAGAGGTGGTCATGTATGGACAGGTATATTCAACTGTCTAATGAGAGTGATTACAATGAGGTGAGGAAGGGAAGTCAATCGATGAATTTATGAAGCTAAATCGGTCAGGATGGCTAGAAAACGTGAAACGCGTGTCTAGCCATCACGTTTCTGATCATTTTATGTCAGCTGACATAAGATTGGCTGGAAAAGAGTTACGAGTAGTTAAATCAAGACCTGGTATCAGTCCATGAAGTCTTTGGTAGTTGATTTTGATCACTCACGTAGTTGTAGACCGTCGTCTGGTTAGGGCTATTGGGATGCTATAAACCGATGACTGGACACTGTTAGTGATGGGGTTCAAAATTGTTCTCAATGCCAAAGATACATTCAGCCTTTGTAATCTCATCCAAATCCATTAAATCTTCATGTTTTCTCATCTTTCTACTTATCCTCTCGTACATTTCTGATCATTATTGATCTTTTGTAATTATTCTTTTTTGTTTTCTTTTCTGTACTTCTGTGTGCTATATGAAGTATGACAACGTGAACTGATACACTTTTGTGTATAGTCAATTAGTCAGAGAATAAAATACAATTAGGGTTTGGATATTGTGTTTCTACTGTCTTTCACCATGTCTTATTATTATTTTCTCTGTCTTCTGTAGTGTCTGCAGAGGAAAATAGAGTAATATTTCACAATGAAATTATAAACCCTCTTGTCATTATACTATTATTACTGATATTATTATTATTATTGTCGTTCAAAGTTATGAAGAAGATAAAAGGCAATTCAGCGAAGAAAATTTCCTGTGTCGTTGAAGTCATCTTCACAGGCTGTACAGTCGTACTTATATTTACCAAAAATGCATAGTGGTCCATTATTGAATAACAGGGGTGACGTAATTGATATTATATATACATATATATATATATAAAGTTATAAATTAAATAACACTCAACCGCACAAAGGAAGAAAGCGTTAGAAATTTGATAAGGTTAAAATTATTATTGAGTGAGAAGAAAGGTAGTTGAGTGTCCATTTAACAAGTGCGAAGAGCGTGAGAATACGTACAAAAGCAACATGTGAGAGTGATAATAGTGAATTAGTTATTAAAGTAAAAAGAAAATAATCATTTAAAATAAAAAATTTGCAGTGAACGACTTATAAAGGGGTTAAGACCGTGGTAGGATTCCAAATTTCTAACGCTTTGTGCCGTTGAGTATTACGTAATTCATAACTTTTTTTTTTACTTGTAAAGCCACCTTTGAGTAATTATATAAATTATGTCACCCCCCCCCCTATTACTCAATAATAGGCTATTATACATTCTTGGTGAATATAATTATGACTATACAGATGCCTTTGAAAATGACTTCGACGATAGAGGAAATTTTCTTCGCTGAATTGTCTTTTATTTTCTTCATGACTACCCACGGGGGTATTTTCGGTGATTTGAATCAGCGCAAGAATCCTGTAACAGTGAGAGAACTTGATACGTATCTTAAACATTCAAAATTACTTTCTCAGTTCCATTAAAAACTAAATTAAATCGAGACAGTGAATATTTCTCTCATTCATTACACTTATTTCATGGCTGTGCTGCACACACTTTGTTTTTAACTGCATACGCGTTTATGGTGTGCTTTTTCAAGTTATTCTGCTTCACTTTAAAAATCTATAAAACACTGACTGGGAAGCGGCATCTGTGGCTGAAATATGACTCACTTCTGCTGGTTTTCAAGACAGAAAAAAAGCAACTATAGTATTTATCACTTCTTCTATGATGTGCACATTTACGTTGTAAAATTCTCCAGTTGGTGGTTAGGATTACAACAGGAAAATAATTAGTTTGGATACAGAAGGTAGTGAGTGAGTTGTCCTTTAGTTTCTTTTGGCAGCCTCGTTAAATTTCTGGTTGTACCCCAGCATTATGCCATCTATTCCATCTGCATTTCTTGTTGTTTCAATCTTTCAATTATGTCGTAGGATATAGTTATATGAACTCACAGATATTTCTACTAGAACTTCAATCTACCATTGTGCAGTTGAAGAAGAAAATGAACGAAAAAACACGTGGAGGATTAGGTAATAATAACTATATTCCAAACAATAATACTCATACAGGATGGTATTTTCAGCGTGTTTACACATATTGCTGCAGTTTATCTCCTTTTAATAAATATATAAATGCACAGAATAGTTTAAAAAAACAATAAAACCGCAAGAACTGAAAGTCAGTAGAAGAATAACAATTGTAATAATAATAATTCTGACTATAATTTCCTGTTTATTTAGTGATTAAATCTCTTTTCTGATATTTTTCTCTTCACACGAAAATTTGTGTAAAATATGGTACGGTTGAACTTTTATATTTCGTTTTACGAGCATAAATTCTTATGAAATTACTTTTGGTGTCACCCCTCGAAGAAATACAAGGAGAAAGTTGCGAATAAAGAGGATGTTGTGTGTCAGTGGAATGCTCGCCAACCACTCCCATGTGGTCCGGTGTTCGATCTCCGGCCACCAACGCACTCATTTACCTCGCTAAGCCGATAGAGAAGGAAGGTTGGGCATGAGGCTAGCAACCCCATCCCGCAAAAATAAACACCACTGCTACAGAAACTTCAAGTCTCTAGCTGGGAAGGTATAGGAATAAAAAAAAGGATGTTCAATTTTCAGCGAAAAGACTTTAGCCATTGACTTGCAAGAATTAGGATCCATACCAACAACAATATGTCAGTTAGATGAGTCAAAGACACAAACACACACACACCACTAACCCTGTTTACAGCCTCCAATATTCTAAGTAAGAGTCTATTTTGAGGAGCCCAGGTAAGAAATAAGGTGGAACAATAAAGAAGAATGGGCAGAATACCTGAATTATTAAATTGTAAGAGAAAAGGTCACGAAATCTCAACTTCCATGTGCAATAAGTTCAACGGGAGCTTTTCTTAGAAATCAACAGAGATTTGAAGAGAAACTGATGCGAAGTTAGGAGATATTCGACATATTCGTTGTAATCACAGTTACGTCAATATAACAAGAAGCATCGGACTGAATCAGTTCACGCAAGTCTTGTTCACGTCTGAAGTTGACTAAAGTCGACAGTATGACATTTACATGGATTCAATTTTGAGACCATATAGGTTAGACCATTGGTTAACATTAGATAAGAGACTATTCATCATATCACAACAATCCTAGTGCGCATGAACAACTGGAACAGAACTAGTCATATCATCAACACATTTAGTTAAATTAGCTTTAGAAGAATACGTTAGGTCATGTCGAAAGAAAGAAAAAAGAAATTTCTAGAATGAAGCTGATGTTGTTCTTAAAGCTTGTGATAGGTAACCTCGTGTATTCACTAAAGTATATACATGTATCTATATATTCATTACTGAATTTGGTTCCAAGGCTTTGACTACTAATGCGTGACATACTTTCACTAGCGACTTGCCCTATTCAGGTAGATAGTTACCTGGGATTCTAGTGAGAAGTCGTGACCAGTAGGGTGCAGCAGGTCAGCTGTGAGGACAAATACTCGCCGAAGAGATTGGCCAGGGGTCGCGCTATGTCGTGAATTGGCAGAAGTTAGAATTCATGGCCTGGCCATTGGATTGGGTCCCAGTGGCTTAATGGTATACGAGCTCACCTTGTAACCAGAAGGTCCTGGGTTCGAATCCCAGCGGGTGCGTACTGTGAAGAGTCCCAAACTAGGACGAAACAGCTGTCCAGTACCCCCAGGTTTTCCAATGGTTCTCTAACTAATGTCAGCTCATGATGAAAATCCTGTATACTTCCCTTAGTTGTTGTATTATCACACCTGTTATATTATTTATAAATAGTTATAATGTTTATGAATTCGATTGATTACTGTGGTTCTCCAAACAACTTAGATTGTTACATTGTTATATTTTTCCCTTTTTTTTAGTACAACTTAAATCTAGCTATTAACAATTCATCCAATGACTCTTCCATTATACCGACTACACCGAAATATACCAATACACCGACAACAGGAATTACTAAAACTGTGAAGTCAAGTCATTCTAGTAACACTATCCATTCAAGTAATCCTCATCATCATTCTATCACTTCTACTCCTCTTCCGCCCCCGCCTCCTCCTGCTGTTCCATCACATCATCATCATCATCATCATCCACAAAAATATGGCATATCTTCAAGTCAATCACAAGAGTCTAGTCGATTGAATACAATTCGAAATGATACAAATGATTTCAAAGGTAGACCAACAAGTCGTCCTGTACCGTCTGTTATACCGAATGATTTAGACAGTATTTCTACAGACAGTTGTGATGAATCTTGGGATGCACGTCATGGTCAATTGGTCTCTGAATTAATGCGTAAGTTCTAACTTAAATATTGTTATGTAATTTAGATGTGTGTAGATGGGATACGTTTAATTTTTTATTAGTATCACAGCTGTCTTTTCTTGATTTAAAACTGAATCCTATCGCTTCTATTTTAATTTTATTATTATACTTTCCGGCTAAGTGAAATTTAGGAATGCGTTGGCCGGGATTCGAATCCCGGACTAGGTAGAGATGAATGACGAGTGTCCTACCACCGAACTATTGACTCAATAAAAACGCTAAATACTGCATAGAACTCAGTTCAAACGGAACTACTTACTGATTTACTGCTAAGTGTATGAGAAATGATTAAATACAAGTCGATAGTAATCTACATACCTAATTAGTCACACTACATACTTGATCGATAATTGTTGGGATCGAATCTTGGATTTTGGACAGCTCTTTCGGGCATCCTTTCAGCAGCACCCAATTCTCTCAATAAATTTTTATAAAGTCGAAAAGGTTTTTCTTATCGCTTAACGACATGACAGCTGTGCGACTCTATGTCAATATTATTATTATTCCAAATGGAATATAGGCCGTCAACAACAAATCTCCGTGTTGCCCTGTCCTCTGCACTCCTCTGTAGTTGGCCCCATGATTGCCCATAATCTGTCATTTCCATCCTCGGACAAGTGCTGAACTCTTCGTTTCGTATTCGGGTTCCACTCAAGTGTTATCCTGGCGTGCGCTGTTACCTGGTGATATCTTCAGTGTATGTCCGATCTGTCTCAATTTTCTTCGGTGTATTTGTTGAGCCATAGGTTCTTGATTGGTTCGTTCCCAGCGTTTCTTGTAGCTATTCGTTTCTGGTTGGCCATCTGGTCTTCAGTATGCAGCCGACGAAAGCAGTTATTAATAAAAGTCTGGTGCGGGCTGTTGAAAATGTTTTCATTTATTTTTTTATTTTTCATTATAGCTTGACTCCACACCGTATTTTTGGTACAAGTATGGAATTTTCAGCATATGATATCAGTAGCCCAAATTTTGCAGGCTGAACACTGATATCAGGTGTGCTTTGGCAGGGGATAGAACCCCGGACCATGTGCATAGTCGGCGAGCGTTCTAACCGCTATGCTACCGACACACAAGTGACTAGTGCGCCAAGCTTCTGAATCCTATAGAAGAACTGACTGACATTGGTGTTGAAAATTCGAGTTTTGTTGTTTATGCTGTGGAGTGCAAAAGATTTCCAAACTGACTTCAGAGTGATGAATATCTGCTTTACCATTCCGATTTCGGTTTTGGCATCCTTACCCGTGCTGTCGCCTGTAGGTGAAACAATGCTGCCTAGATAAATGAAGGAAGTGACCTCTTTCAAATTTATTCCATTGATAGTGTTCAGTGGATGTTGTTGTTGTTAGTGGTGGTGGTTGGTTGGTTAGTTATCTTCATCACCTTCGTCTTCTGTATGTCCACTTGAAGTTCTGGCTTCTGACTGCTTCTTCAGCCAGTTAGCTGGTTCTGCCAATTTGTTCATTTTCATCTGTAATTTTTCGAATTTATGTGACATTAGACATAAATCACATGCATGAAGTCCAGATCTTCTAAGGTCTCCTTATCGTTTCATCGTATCTCTGTCTTCCACATGATCCAGTCCACCACAGTCAGTAATCATCGCATCAGTAATAGTAGCTAGCCGTGTCTTACTCCGGTCCTCTTTAAATAAATGATTAAGCAGGTATGTAATAGAATGTTGACTAATAAATTTAATTTATCTCCTCAACCCAATCACAAAAGTTGAACCGTTTATCCTTTTTGTTAACCACTAAATATATTTAACAGTTTAATTTCTTCATTATTATTCTGTTCTACCAACCTTAAAAGCTTTTTGTTGTTATTGTCGTCGTTGTTCATGAGTGAATTCATTGATTTATGTGCTTCACTTTGTTTTATTGTTCTTGAGCTTACAAATTAATCGAAGAGAATGAGTAGTTTAAAAGTACCATTTACTAAATGTTTTATATACAAATAAGCTGTTAGTACAAGAAAAAAATAATAATAAAACCGTCTCAACACGTTTGTATGAATAGTGTTAGAAAAAAGTGTATATAATATTTATAGTTGTTCAAAGTTTAGAGTGCATCGATAGTTCAGTTGTTCAATGATCTTGCCAACTAAGCGGAAGGTTTTTGGGTTCGATTCTCGATCGATGCACACCTAACGACACACCCTTCCCACCCTTAATTTACCAGGTGATAGTATGCCTGGAAAAGATGGCAGGTTAGGCGTGTGAAGTTAACAATCCACCATCCCTTAAAAATTTCTAACACCACCAATACTGATGCTTTTCAAACCTTGGAGCCCTATGTTCCTTCACTCAGAACTCAATAGAATAGGAGCGAGTTATGTTGGCCGTTGCTCTAGGAACTTGATTTTTCGTGCTCGAGAACATATCCCACTATGGCTAAGTAGAGGTGTAGTTAAAACTATTAACAGTTCGATACTAGACCATCTGGTGCAAACTGGTCACAAAGCCAGCATAGAAGAATCCTTCTCTATAATATACCGGGTGCCTAACAAACTACCAAAGTCGTCGAAACACCGCATGCTCCAAACAGCAGAGGCCATTGCAATCAAACAACCAGTGCTCTGTATCCAAAAGAAACAAGTCCAGTCCCTACTACTGCCCTGGCCTTCAGTAGAGACTATAAACTCATGAATTTGTACTATTACCCTTCCTAATTCTTCTGACATTCAGTTTATTTTATGTTGATGCTGTTTAGCTGTAATTTATCAATATTATTGATTTGATGTTATTTAAACATTAATGTCGTTCATAAGACTAATTCATTCATTCATCATAATGTATATATAATTGTAGAACCTGATGATGAATTTATCGAAAAGAGTACTCTTTGTTCCGTGTCTATTCTTTTGAGAATAGGAAAAGTCAAGAGGAAAAACAAATCACCTTATGGCCTAGATTGACATCATGTATATGAACAATACTGAACAATATATGCATTTTCATAGCTTTTTTACTCTCTGGTATATAAAGAAATGTGATAAAGACCCCCTGTAGTTTTAGGGTCAGTACTATTTGTTCAGAAAAGGCGATTGAAGATGAATTTAAGGTTGTAGGCGACACGTTAATTGAAAACAACTTCCCTGAAAACTTCATCACCAAGAAAGCAAAAAAGAATTCTTCCATATCTGTTAAGAAGAAGCTTCTCATATATACGACTGCAATGATAATAACAATAATAACAATAGGTTTATTCCAAACAGTACTTTTGTTACAAATATGGAATTTTCAGCATGTAGTAGTACAGTAAGTATTGCATCTAATTTTCTCATTACAAGGGCAATAATTAAAAATAGGGCATTCACATTAATCATAATTTACATTAATAATATTGTTCAATAAAAAATCAATATAAAATTAAATCAAGTGAAAATATTAACGACAGTGTAGTAGTGAGGACAAAAAACTGCTGTTTGCTTAGAGTTCCTCAGTAAGTCGATAATTTCCTGTCGTGCACTTTTCTCATCACATAAAATGTGTGCTAAATAAGATATTTTAGGGTGGCATTTAAACCAACCAACTGTCTCAAAGATAAAAATTTACCAAATACCATGTAATGCTGTACAGTGAGGTCGATTACATAGGCCATTCAAACTTGTAGATCAGGGAACATAGAAATTTAGCTAGACCTAGAATAATTGACCTTGCTAAGTTAAATAACCTACAAAAAACAGGGCTCAGCCATTGCACTGCATTCACTTGCATGTAATCACAAAATAGGGTGGATGGGACAGGGTGGGAGTATTAAAAAATAATATAGTTAGGTGGAGAGACACGTTAATCAATGAAGCTTTGTTTATCAATTCAACACCGCACACGGGCAATCAGAAAGACGCAACGCCTATACTGGAGATATGGAAAGCGGCAACAAACAACAAAAGAAAGATGGAGAGATAGAAAGGGAGAAAAAATATATATAAGGCAAATTGTGAAGCCGTATGATTAAAATTGATATGATTATGAGGGGCAATAATTTATGCTCGAAACCTTGTCATCATCCAGTTGTTTATACTGCATCACTGTGTAATAGTTAAAGTAGACTTATCTAATATGGAATTACATTCTACCACAGTGCCCAAGTTCTACACTTACATTACCGTTTGAATATTCTTTTCAATTAGATCTTATCAGGCTTTACTCTAATATACATAACTTTACAAACAAATAGTCAATATAAACTAATCATGGTGATTGTAAGATTGTGCATATGCATTGTGCAATTAGTCATAATAATAATAATAATAATAATAGTACTTCTAGCGATACAAAAACATGGAAAAGTGGAGCAATCTATGATAATACGAATAATGAAAAACAGCATGACTAAACAAACAAATGTAGATAACGGCTTATAAGATAAGGCTTATACTAGATTGTAAGGGAAGTAGGCAAACTAAGTTTTAATAAGAATGCAATAAGTCTTAAGAAATGTTAGTTAACATGAGATAATAAGATAAGGATTATACATATATATATATGTATATATATATATATATATATACAGGCTTATAATGGTATAATCCGTTTGTTAAGTCTCTACTGGCCGAGGAAATGAATAACGATTGTACAAACGTATTCTGAATGCATAACTGAGGCTAACTACTTCAAATATCAATCACCTTACCTATATCTACTGAACTTTTCAACGGGATTCGATGAATCACCTTGAATATCTTTGTTTTGTCCACTGAATGACCACTATCAATCAAATGCAATAAAATAGAACTTTAGATAGCTTCTTTTTATCCTTCACCAAACCATGATACAAGATGTTCTGTGACACGTTGACTAAGCTGTCTAGTAGTAGTAGTACACCTAACGTGGCTATCTTGTCTGTCCACTAAATGTAAAAGAAATATTAGTTGGCGCCTTGCGAGTAAAGCGCGGAAGTCCTGTTCGAAGGATTATATACAGAAACACCAAAATCACACAAGAGACTAGTATTTATCATATAACAGTTTAATGAAGATTTGTCAAGTGAAATTTCATCCCAGAGACTATCCAAAACTATGCCGAAGATATTTTCTTTTGGTCTATAAAAGTAGACTTCATGGACAACAGAGTTTGACATTTATATACTCGATTCTCTTGTGTGCGTTGGCGACACAGCAGTAGAATGCTCACCAACCACGCATGTGGTTCGGGCTTTGATCCCCGGCCGCCAACGCACTCCTTTACCTCGCTAAGCCAGTAATAAGATTGGTAAAGAGGGGAGGTTGGACATGAGGCTAGCAACCTCATCCCGTTTAAATAAACACCTTTGCTACCGAAACTCGAAAACTCCATTTTGAATCTTTATGTTCCATTGGGAATGTAAAGGAGTAAAATAAAATAATAAAAATCTCTTGAGACTGACACTGTAAAAAGGATTCAATAGATTCTAAGAAGTGATAATAACTTAACTTCAGGATTATATTAATAATGCGTACACTAATATTAAGTCAGTCAGTGCTTCTATATGGGTCAGAAAGTTGGTTAGCGTGTCACGAAAAGCATTTCTAACAGGCCACACCAGACTTTTATCAGTGGCTGCCTCCACTCCATACCGAACACCATATGGCCAAAAAGAATTAGCAACATGAAATTCTGGGAATGATCTAATCAAAAACCTATTTCTCAACAAATATGTCGAAGAAAATGGAGATGAATCAGACACATTCTGAGGAGACTATTGAGTGACATCGTGAGCCATGCTGTCGAGTGGGGAACGATGAGTTGAGCTTGTGTCCGAGGGTGAAATGGAGGAGATCGTGTGAGAAGGAAAAGAGACCTTATGCGTAGTCGTGCTACCGGCTTAAGAGGACTGCAGAGAACAGGACAAAATGGAGATATTCTGTTAAAACCCACTGGGGAACCCAAGGGAATAATAATAATACTGTGCAACACTAGGACACATCATACTGTTATGTATTTTGAAATAAACAAAGCAAGACAAGCTTTCACTACTCTGAAGTTTGTGTGGAGGTCAACAACTCTCAGCATCAAAAATAAGATCCGGATTTTCAACTCCAATGTGAAGTCAGTGCTACTATACGGATCAGAGACTTGGCCAGCGCATCATAAAGAGCATCTCAAACAAACTACAGACCTTCATTAACAGCTGTCTTCGCCCAATGCCACTCAAGATCAGATGGCCAGAAAAGATCAGCAACAGAGATCTGTGGGAGCGAACCAACACAGCAGGAACCGATTGTGAAACAAATAGGCAGGAAGAAATGGAGATAGAATATCCATACTCTGAGGAAACCATCAAGTGACATCACTAGACAAGCCATTGCTCGAGTGGAACCCGAAAGGGAAGCGGCGAGTTGGTCGTCAGTGCAAGGGTGACTTGGAGGGGGTCATGTGAAGAGAAGATGAAAACGTGTGGGCAGACTTGGAGCTATGCGAAGACTCTAGCAAAGAACCGAACGCAATCGCGACGCAGGGCCGAAGCCGTATGTTCCTCTAGGAATTAAAGGAAACAATAATAATTATTATTATTTTTTATGATAAACGTGAATGCAGATAACATTAGCATTATGCTTATAGCTGGAAGATCCATTGACATCCTACTAATTGAAGACTCTTTATATGCATGACTGATTCAAAAAGAATTTCAGTGTGCTGTCTGTCTGGTTTAAACTAAAGTCAAACGAATAACTCCAAAAAAAATACTGTCAAAATTATCCACCATGAATAAATATGTGCAAACAGGGAAATAATATAATTCTTTGCCTGTTGTGGTTCATTTCACTCTTTCCACTACTGTTGTCATTTTATGCATTCATTTGGAATTAGTGTATTCAAATACTGAAAATATGAGTGATTGAAGATAACCATTTTATTTATTTGTATTCACAAATTGGATTTGTGGAGATCCAGTTGATGTCAAGAAGGAGGAACCGAAATCAATTACACAGTCAAGGAGCACTGAATAGCCAGTTTCTCTTTGTTTAGGATTCTCCAACTGTGTTTACTCCTTTCTTCACATAACCAACAGGTGCACATTTATTATTATTCAACTATTGAGTTGGAATTCTGTAACCTATGGACGCTAATTTTATATTATTTTGCGTTATGGTCCACAGTGAATAACGCAACTATCCTGAATTCATTTTCTGGTTGGAGTTCGTGAGTACTCATTGACAAAGAATCCCAAGTTCGGATGAAACAGCTATTAAGTAGTACTCTTTGGTTTTTTCAATAATTCATTGATTAGTTTCTCTCCTTGATGAAATCGACACTGGAATTACTTAACTCCTTACAAGTCTTATGTCCTATATATGTATATATATATATATATATATATATATATATATATATATTGCTGACAAACATTTCAAAACTCAACTGTGAGATTTATTAGCCTCAACTGCTGTTTCTCATGTATCAGACTAAGAGTCACATATATTCCGCGTAGTGGCTGATGATACTGCTCAGTTTCAGACTAAATTAGGCGAAGTGGGACTCGAACAGAAGATCCACTAGACAAAGACTTGGTATTTAAGTCAGTGAAACATCTCCGCGGATTTTCCCCCTAAAACCTACTGTTTTTATGCGTGATTAATTGTATTGTGTTTAAAGATTACGCTTCTTAACTGACTTGATTGTGTAATATAGTAGTGCTTGTTTAAAGTCAGTATAGTTTTCCTCAGTATTCATCACATTCATAAGTAATTCCTTATTTCCAAGGTTAATGAATTCTTTTGTATTCAAACAAGGCAACCATTGCTGTTGTTAACGTTACCTCTGTATTTAAATCCCCCAGAAGGAGACCAACAGGATGCTGCATATAAGTGTACAGCCGTCGGTGAGAGAGAGAGAAAGAACATTTCTTCATTCATTTGCTTGTTTTCTCAATATAGAATATGAGAATCCTCATTTGGATGAGATCTACAAAGTCTCTGTAGTACTGTTAGTTTGCAATTACGACTCACATCTCTTTTTGTAATAACTATTTCAGGTGGACGCTTTATCGATCCTTCAGTGATTGTTCCAACCACCTCTGGTAAAATGATGAATCCGGTAACAGCAACAGTGGGAATGACTACTGAGTCCTTACATCCAATGGATAAAAATGCATCCATAATCCCCGGCTCAATACCTGCTACTTCATCATCTTGCACCTCGTCATCCTCCTCAACACCATCATCGTCGTCGTCTTCTTCTTCCTCCTCCGCCTCGTCTACTACTTCATCATCTTCAACATCAGTGCCACTTCCTTCTCCGCTTTCTTCACAGTGTATAAATGCTGTCGCACAATTATCATCGGATCAGTTCAATTCATCTAACGGATTACGTTATCCAGGGAATTCAGTGAATAAAACTAAATTGTCATCATCTAGTCAAAATAATCTACCGAAAGGTTTACCCCCGAATTTGGAAAATCTACCACTTGAAGAACAACCGTTAGTTTATATTTATATTGTATTATTGTTTATTATTATTCGTATTACCGTGTTATATCTACCTTTGTTGAATATACGTGTATTATGTTATATACTTTCGCCTATCCCTGGACAGCCGTTTCACTCATTTTTGGGCTGAGTCTATCATCGGCTTGGCTCAGCTGAGAGAACCGATTCAGTTCAAACCACCCAATATCTCAGTAGCTACTTCGATGAACTGGTAATATGATAAATCAAATTCGTCATTCGCAGATTACATAGTTCGAGGAGGTGAGATTTCAGCACAGTTCCCTTTTGGAAACCGAGGGTATTTAGATCACAATATGTGATCTGCTTGATGATAACATACATGGTGATCAAGAAAACAAGCATATTTGCTTAAAACTATATACTACTAATTAATTGAGATGACTAGTAGTTGAATACCAGTCATATCAACTGGTAGTGCTTGCTAGCCAGATAATCTCAGTCAATCAGTAGTTTATAGTTTTATGCAAACATACCATGTATGGTATCACCAAGCAGATCGCATATTGTGTGATCTAAGATAATTTGGTTTCCAAAGGAAACTACAGTGAAATTTTACCACTTGAACTGTGTAGATTGCAAAATGGCTAACCAGTTTGCAAATTGTGGATATGACTAAAGGTGTTACCAATTTGCCCGATTAGCTAACGAGAAATCGGGTGGTTTGAGCTGATTTGACTCTCTGAACACTGAGTCGAACTGGGCACACGGCTGATGAGCTCTGCCCCCCAAACGAGCGAAATGTCTAGCTAGCAAGCACTACTGGTTGATATGATTGGTATGCAACTACTACTCATCTGAATCAACCAGTAGTATATAGTTGTTTTATGCAAATTTCCTGTTGCATTTCTGTTTTGTAAAATGCAGCAAAGTGGTTTAATATTCTGTCTGGTTGGTTAGTCTCTCACCTGGTCGACTCTTATTTAACTAAACTGACTCTTCATCATTGTTGTCAATAGAAAGCTTCTCTTCCAGAGGCTTTAATAACACTAGTAGTCTTATTAAAAGCGTTGGTGGCACAGCGGTAGGAATGCTCGCCAACCACACATGTGATCCGGGATCCGAACCCTGGCCGACTCGGTTCTTTATCTCGCTGAGTTAGTTATAAGGTTGGTAAAGAGGGAGGGATGGACATGAAGCTAGCAACCCCATCCCGTAAAAATAAACACCACCGCTACCGAAACTTCAAGCCTCCATTGGGAACGTAAAGGAATAAAATAAAGTCTTATAAAAGAGTAGAATATAGAGTATAATTCCATTATAGAAGAAATTCACTATGATAAAAGCACATAGTGATACAGGTATTTTAATTTGGTTACTGATTATGTTTTGAAGAAGAATTCATTGCTGTTTATAGTCTTATCAAAGCGCTCGCATAGCACCACTTCCAAACTTTATTTTATACACTTTCATTACTTTTTATCATTTTACCTAATTGACAATAGTATTTTCGTTGCGTTTATTACTGTTGCATGTGTTGGGGTGTGTAGATTCGATGAAGAAAGATTCAGTGATCAACACTTCTGTCTCTCTACCTACCCATATATTACTTTTTAGGGCTGTATCTCTGTAACACTCTATCTGTTGTGTGGATTTTTTCGTTAATGTGATTACTGAGTTTTTCTCTGAACTATTCATGTTCGTCGTTATCGATCATTTCACACAGCTAAATTCTTATGTTCCAATTATCTAATTCCCTCCGATCTACTGGTCTGAGTTATGTAGATGAAATTATTTTATCTCATTGGATCAATAGGACCCTTGGCAAACATAAAGAATAACGACAATGGAGAGGAAAAAAGGCACATGTGACTTTGAAACGCACCAATGAGAAAAGACCATGTTTTTGGCATAGAAAAGCCATTTATTTAGGAGAAAAATACAAATAATTATCATAAAATGCATTAAACTGTAGATTTTTCCCTGATATGAGTCAAAAGTAGTTCACAGTTACGATGTGAGGGGTATCAAATTTAGAAAGTTAAACCCAGTTTCTATACATATGCTCATCAAGATGACTAAAAATAACATTTTTTAATCTCTCGAATCCTGTTCTTCAGTCTCTCTTTCAAAAGCCTTCGATGGAATTAGTATGCGTGTTCCAGTGATAGGGTCGAAAAAGTCATCTGAATAATTGACACGATGATGGGTGAATCCCAACTGTCATAACCGGTCGTATGCTGACTATTCGTCTATAGGAATTATACTACCCGGAATTACTAAGTGTTGTATAATAGATAGGAGAGTCTTTGCACTACGATTTGGAATTACTTCCGTAATTTCTTTACCAATGATATTATCGCAAAGTCCCACACATTATTCTTTCTAGGGCAACCACGGCTGTACTTCTTTATAAAAACAATTTCATCCATATGAACAATAACCTCCTCTCCTACCAAAAGCTGCGTTAAACAGCGACAACTCCAATTGCGAAAAGAAAGTTCCTAGAAGTTATTGAATATAGTGTATGACTTGCCATTTCGAACACTAGTTCTTTTCATACAGTCTGTACAGCTGAATACATGTCCATCAGTTGCTCTGGAAAGACGTTGGAAGATGTACATACAACCTCCATAAGAGCATTAACATTCACATGCTATCAATCCATTATCCGAACAGTACTTAAAAACAAGATCTGGGTGAAACTTACACCTCAAATAGTGCGCAGTGTTCATAATGACTATCTATTAGTATTAGGTTCTTTAATCTAATGAATCCTAGCGTTCAAGGCTATTAGTGTCTCTACCCTCTCTGGTCACTATTCTTTAGGTTGGCCGAATCCTTAAGCCCGTAGAACTTGTCCCTGAGCGAGTTTGTAGCTTTAAATGTCACCGTTATTCCTGCTTTATTAAGAATCCTATGTAGGGTTTTACATGTCCCTTCTTTATGTAGGGTCAAACTGTAAATGCCTTAATTTTTTTCTTATTTATGTTATTATGGTCAATAACTTCACTATTAGTTTTCCTTTTCTTCTGAGCTTTTTTCTTTTCAATGAATTTTATGCGATATTTAGAAGTTATGCGACTGCCTTGATATGAATATGAGTAACCAGAAATTGTTCACGTAACGTTATCAGTGACTAAATAATACAAATATCACAATGTGCTTTCACCAGGCAAGTAAACTACACTGTCGTATAGTGGAAAACTCGCCTATGCTACTATCCAATTCTTGAGAGGATCACAATTAGAAAGTTATCACATCTTTGATATAGTTAGTGTATATATCTAAGCTGTTGAACAGGAGAAGTATTGTTTGTTTGAATTTTCACTAACAATCATATATGTGCTTCTCGGTCAAACTGAGGATTGAAGCTAATAAACATTTTAGGAAGATGCTTGATAGTTTTCAAACTCAACTCTGTTGTGAGAATATTAAGAGATATGGTAACGTTGGTGGTCGATATCATTTTCCACCCCTTGGGAAAACGTTGAGGAAGGTTCATTTATTGACAACAGCATCTTGAGAATTAACAGGTACATGGCTAAGACAGCTGTTACGCACGCCTAGCCAACGCTTTCCTCGACGAGCGGTGTTAACTGAAATAGGATCAGGTTGGAAAAGAGCTAGTGGCGGTCAGTCTATGATATCTTTGACAGTTCATTTTGAGCCAATCAAAAGGAAGGGCGTAGAGTTCCTGGCTGTGGTCCTCGGGATGCTAAGAACAATTGGAGATATGGCTGAAAATCATCCTCAATAGCTCAGATGCAGTAGTCACTCTGTGTGATCTGTCACATCAGGAAAACCCTACTCTGCTTATTATCGTTCCGAATTTCTTATTTTTCTCTTGTCTTCCTTTGTGTGGTAGGTACATGGAGTGTGGAATGTTGAACTGTTGTACTTTTGTGCAAAGTTCCAATGTTGAAACCAGTCAGTTGGTGTCAACAGTTACATAAAAAATCTATTATTTCAAGTTCTGAAGACACTAAAGCATGAAGGTAGCTTAAATATAGCCAAAAGTAGACTCTCTATACATAAGAATCGTGAGGAGTGAAAGTTAGTTCAATATAATCCAATTTGAAGGCAGAAGCAAATTACTCCTCAGTTTGATCAAACCGGCTTGAATCAGTAAGATATTAGTTAATGAGATCATTATTGGAAATGATGGGGAGAGCGCACCTGAAACGGTGAGATAAACGCATCCAGTAATACTTCTAACCACTCTTCACATGCTTGTCCACTATCTTGTCGTAAACTGAATAGAACATTAAAATAGGAGATGATTTCTTATCGGCAAGTGAATGTCTGCTAGCCGTTTGACAATAGTATAATATGATGAATTACTCAAGTCCCAACCGTGATACACCCGTATGTCGTTGCTCAATCTTAGGAGATCATATACTTAGGGAACTTACATAACTGTAGGCCGGAAATCGGTCAAATAATTCTGAGTTAGTTATCGCCAATTCACTGTTTATTTTTTCCGAATTTGTGTAAGTTTTCGTTCCATCTACCTATATTGATCTTTCTGAGTGGTTCCTTCTAAAAATTTGTTTTCATCTTTTTATGATGAGAACCATGAAAGCACCCATATCGGGATCGATCAAAACTAAGTCTTTATATTGTAAAGTCTCGTAGAATCGCCTTCTGTGCTCATCTGATATCAGTCTTTGGGTATGTAGCTTGTTAATTAGCATTAATAATATGCTACCCGACCCCCACTTCCCCATCATATAAGATGAATATAAATTCTCAAAGGAAACCATTGAGAAAGATTAAACTAGGCTGATTGAACAAAAACTTTTAGCCTTTTGCTAAAATTGAACAAGGGAGGACAGTAGCACCTAATCGATTACTTTCAGAGACAAGGACTGTTGGTTAAATTAATTAGGAATTTTAATGGGATATTAGAGAGTAGAATGCGATACTTGTATACTAACCGCAGTCACGTAGCATCAGTAACCTTACAGGAAATATCCTCTTATGGTAATCACAGAGGAATAAGTACTATTCAACATTTGATTTTACCGCCT